ATTGATACCCTGACCAATACCCGTGAGTCAGCATTCTGTTACATAAGTTGAAAGCAGACTGTTGGTCTATACTCAGCTTGAGTCTTAAAGAGAATCATGCTGAAGCTCCAAGCCAAGTTGACCCAGGAGAGAAAAGAACCCAATTCCCAAACCAGGAAGCTGTAGTTGTCATGGTAGCCTTTCTGTCTTGGCTTTTCTCAGCCCTTTTCTGCTGTTCAGCTGTGTTTCAGCCTTCCATCTGAACCTTCTTACTCCTGCCTGGAAGACACTCCAGAGAGGGGCACCTGGTGTCTGGCCTCTCTGTTTGGCAACTTTATACCTGTTATATACAGAAATTTAGACATGTCTGTAAATCTGGGAACCGAACCTGAATTAGAACCAGGATGAAAAAAAAAAAATAGAACCAGGATGAAAACTCTATCTAGTGGAATCTGGTAGAAATCCTGCAGCCTGAGCCACCTATGATGTAGAAAAGCCAGAGTGGGACCTAGGGCATGTGTCTCCCCAAAGCAACACAAGTATGTGTCTACCCAAAGAATACAGGCATGTCTCCCCAAAGCAACACAAGTATGTGTCTACCCAAAGAATACAGGTGTGTCTACCCAAAGAATACAGGCGTGTCTACCCAAAGAATACAGGTGTGTCTACCCAAAGAATACAGGTGTGTCTACCCAAAGAATACAGGCGTGTCTACCCAAAGAATACAGGCGTGTCTACCCAAAGAATACAGGCGTGTCTACCCAAAGAATACAGGCGTGTCTACCCAAAGAATACAGGCGTGTCTACCCAAAGAATACAGGCGTGTCTACCCAAAGAATACAGGCGTGTCTACCCAAAGAATACAGGCGTGTCTACCCAAAGAATACAGGCGTGTCTACCCAAAGAATACAGGCGTGTCTACCCAAAGAATACAGGCGTGTCTCCCCAAAGAATACAGGTGTGTCTACCCAAAGAATACAGGCGTGTCTACCCAAAGAATACAGGCGTGTCTACCCAAAGAATACAGGTGTGTCTACCCAAAGAATACAGGCGTGTCTCCCCAAAGCAACACAAGCATGTGTCTCCCCAAAGAATACAGGTGTGTCTACCCAAAGAATACAGGTGTGTCTACCCAAAGAATACAGGCGTGTCTACCCAAAGAATACAGGCATGTCTACCCAAAGAATACAGGTGTGTCTACCCAAAGAATACAGGCGTGTCTACCCAAAGAATACAGGCTTGTCTACCCAAGGCATGCAGGCATGAGCAGCCACAGGAACCAGCCCCCACTTCATCTTGAATTACTTTTCTCCACCCCCCTTACTTTCTGCCTTTTTACCTTGGCCACAATTGTGGATAAAGACAAAATTTTTAGTCCTGGCTCTTTTGATCCCTAGGAGGATAAAGATGAGCTCATTCTAGAAGTTTCCTTGTCAGCTACCTTGAGGCTCATAGGGTCTCAGCTCTCAGTCTGGTGAACCCTGCCAACTCTACACTCTGTGCTCTGTTCCTGTATTGGAGCCTGCTCAGCATGTCCCCCAGATGCAGGCGTGGTGCATGTGGATGCTCTGTGGGACATCCTGATACTGACTATGTGGAAACCTTCTGGTTAAGTTGGGCAGCTCAGCTCATTCGAGGCACAGCTAAACATGGCTACCTCACATCAAGTGCTTCCCGATTAGCCAAGGCTAACCTGGACTTTTCCGGAAACCTAAACACCTCAACCTTCATATCCAGTTGCAGATTAATCACTCCAACAAGTTTCCAGATTTCCCCTCAATTACTTTCTACTCTGTACTCCAAGCTCTAGCATTTTAGCTTTGGTTTGAGAGGCAGAGGGCAGGCCTGGTGTGGTAGGTGCTGTTTGTGGGCCTCTGGCCACCCACCATCATTTTGGCTTTCACAGAGCTGCATTCTAAGAGGACATTTGACTCCTGTCATACTTTTATTGTTGTGACCAACACCTGGGAAGGGGGCTGTTAATTTTTTTTGTTACAACATTTATTTGGTTTGGTGAGGCTTGCGTGCCACATTTGGAGGTCAAAGGACAACACACAGGAGTTAGTTCTCTTCTTCCATTTTGTGGCCTCAGGAATTGAGCTCAAATAGTCAGATTTGGTGGCAAGCACCTTACCTGCTAAGCCATCTCACTAACCCAGGAGGAATTCTCTGGGGTTGAGAAGTCTCCGTCCATCATGGTGGAGTGAACAGCTCACATCATGGGAGGCCAGAAGCAGTGTGGAGCAGTTGATAGGAAGGGACCAGAGCAGGATGGAGCCTCAAGGGCGCATCCTCCATGGCCTAAATCCACCAATGTATAGACAGATTGGTTAGGCCAGAGGCCTGGTGAGACAAGCCTCTCCAGGAGCTACCGACAGGCACTCAGAGCCTGCTGTACTGATGAAGTACCACTCAATGCCGCCAAGCTGACAACAAAGATTGGCTGTAACTCTTTGAAAAGAAAAACTTAAATAATAAAAATATAAGCAAATTCATCTCAGAAAGAAATGCAACATTTTCCAAGCGGTGGTGGCTCCGCCTTTAATCCCAGCACTTGGGAGGCAGAGGCAGGCGGATCTCTGGGAGTTTGAGGCCAGCCTGGTCTACAAGAGCTAGTTCCAGGACAGGAACCAAAAAGCTACAGAGAAACCCTGTCTCGAAAAATCCAAAAAAAAAAAAAAAAATTCTGTCTCTACTTCCTGTATACCATAGGAGATCTGGGATTATAAACATATTCCTGACTTCATGTGGGATCTGGGGATTTGAACTCAGGTCCTCTTGCACAGTGAGAGTTTTGCCTACCAAATCACCTTCCCAGCATTTCTTGTCTAAATTAACAGGTGAAATCCTTACTCTGATATTTGGTTTATGATTTTGTAATTGGTAGAAATGGTTTGTCTAGTAGAATTTTATCAGTCAGGGCCAAATCAAAGCCACAATGGTACTTTAAGCAGAGAAAATTAAATATAAAAAAGTAACTAATAAAAAAGGTTAATTATCAAATGAGTACAAGAGGACTCTAGATCAAGCGTTGATGGGCCTTCTATAAAGGGCAGCCATATTTTGGGCTTTGTGGGCAAGAGTCACAGCCAAGACTATCACACATTACAACACAAAACAAACATCTGCCACGTTTTTATTGATGAAACCCAAGATAAAATGAGTGCATGCTTTTAAAACTGCATTATGCTTATCTATGGTGTGTTGAGGGCATAGGGAGTGGGTGCATGTCACACGTGGAGGTCAGAGAACAGCTTAGGGGAGATGGTTCTCTATCCTTCTGTCATGTGGGACCAAAGGATTGAACTCAGGTCGTCAGGCTTGACAACGAGGGCTTTCACCCACTGAGCCATTGGCCAGGCCCACAAATATGTGCTTTGAAATACATTTCAATTAATTAAGGCATCTCTACTTTGTATAGTTGAGATTCAAATGCGAGAACCACTGTCAGCTCAAGATGGCCAAGCAGGTGGCCGGCTGTGACCTGCAGGTGGTTGTTGGCCTGCCTGGGGCTTCATGGTTGGCTCTGAGGAGGTACAACTGGGGGAGGAAGGGGGGCTGAGGGTTCTGTGACTACTGAGATTTAGACTCTGCAGCTAGAACTGGTATCTACAGGTAGGATACATCCTCCACACCTCCCCATTTTTGTTTGTTTGTTTTTGAGAGACAGGGTTTCTCTGTAGCTTTGGAGCCTGTCCTGGAACTCTCTCTGTAGACCAGGCTGACCTTGAACTCACAGAGATCCACCTGCCTCTGCCTCCCCTGAGGGCTGGGATTAAAGGGCGTGCACCACCACAGTCCGGCCATTTTTGTTTCTTAAATATATTTAACTTTATTTTATGTACCTTGGCATCAGATCCCCTGAAACTGGACTTATGGACTGGATTACAGTGAGCCGCCTTGTGGGTGCTCGGAATTGAACCTGGGTCCTTTGGAAGAGTAGTCAGTGTTCTTAACTGCGAGCCATCTCTCCAGCCTCTCTCCCCGTTTTTTGTTACCAAGAAAAGGAGAAGCCAGGGAACAGGGAGGAACGGCCCCCATTTCCTGTTTCTATTCTACAACGACCTTCTAGTGCCATCTATTGGAGGAGACTACAAAGCCAAGTAGTAAAAGCAGGCTAGTTTGCAAGGTCCTGTTTTCAGAGGTGATAATTTGATAACGGGTAGGCATGCTAACAAAGTGGTAAAAGTGGTTTTCCCACTGTTTGTTGCCTTTACAAATATCTCCCGGAAAAGTCTCATAAGAAACAAACTTCCAAATAAAAATGAATGAATGAATGAATAAAGTGTGTTGCCGGAGCTGGCACTCTCCTTTTACAGCGTGGGTCCCAGGGATCAAACTCAGGTAAGCCAGGCTTGGGGGCAAGCACCTTTACCTAGCCCTCTCACTAGCCCAATGAAGGTTGGTCTACTCCTCACTGTCCACTCAATTCTTGTCTCCTGAGCCCACTCCTACCAGATACTCCAAGTCTTTCTGTGTTTATTTAATGCTTATTTTCAAGATCCTACTTTTTATAGATTTTATAGCAAAAGCTTCTGCTTTACACAAACTCTAAATGTTTTGGCAAATATATTAATTAATCTTTTTTAATAGTATCTGGCTTTCCGGGCAGTGGTGGCACACGCTGCCTTTTATCCCAGCACTCAGAGGCAGAGACAGACGGATCTCTGTGAGGCCTGCCTGATCTACAGAGAGAGTTCCAGGCCAGGCTCCAAAGCGACAGAGAAACCCCGTCTCATGCGAGAGCGTCTGCTGGTTAAAACACAGAACATCTCCAGCCTCCGTACCTAGAGCTGCCTTGATCGGCTGGCTTCTACAGCCCTGGCCTGTCGGCAAGCCCCAAAGGCCTTGGGCACTAAAGGGCGGTCACTGCTGGCACCAGCAGAGTGCCCCCAGGCAGATTCACAATTTTGACACCAGTACAGCAAATGGACCATGGCAGAAGACTGGCATCTATTGCTTTAAGGTCATTTATTCCATCCTCACTATCAGAACCAAGTCACTGACTCTTGGGACCCCAAATGCCTAAACATCATTAGCAACCACCCAAGATCGCTTCATCCCACAAATCCCTCTCCTCTGGTTCCTTCTTTCGATGAGACTGGCGCCTGCCTCTGGTGGGGTCTCTTCCATCATGGCGGGTCCCCTTTCTGTGCTTGGACTTCTCAGTACCTGTTAATTCTGATGAGAACTTCCTTCTCCTGGGGCCCTCCTCGTCTTTGCATGAAGTCCTCTCTCTGTGGTGTTTCCTCTTGGGCGACTCTTGCTCAGCACTGGCGGCTCCTCCCCGCTCCTGGTGCTGTGGCATTTCCTTTCTGTCTTGATTCTGGCTCTTCTGATGATAGCTTAGAGATTCCAGTCTTCGTCTGCAGTGAGGTGCCATGCTTTCCACGATCCACCTTTCATAGGAAGTAGAAGATCTGGGATGCTCTCCGAATGAGGGCATTGGAGCGCCAGAGTCGACACGGTCTCTTTCTTGGTAAACAGAGTTCTCTGCCATATTTCTGAAGTTGACTCTTGGATGTAACCCCCTGGCTTTCTGCTTTCTAATGAAATCTTCAAGCTCTTGTTGAAAAGAGTCATTGGTGTGAGGCTCTTCCATTACACTGGCCATGAACAGATTTCTCTAGAATGAAATGGGAGGACCTTCTGTTAGTGCATCGCTTTGCTTACGACATTTTCTCTGTTCTAAGGGAGAGTGTTACGTTACACATCACACAGTAAACAGCAAGTAGTCACCGATGTTGGACAGGAGCACTTTTGACATACTGGGGATGGGACAGTACAAGGGAGGAGGAAAAGGATTGCTCTTGTCGTTTTGTTTTAAAAAACTGTACCGATGTGTGAGTATGGATTTGTACACAGCACCCACAAGGCCAACAGTGTCAGATGCCCCTGGGGAGACAGGTGCTTGTGGCCACCTTACGTAGGTGCTGGGAATCAAACTCTGGTCCTCTCCTCTTAACTGCTGAACCATTTCTCAAGTCTGCTTTTTATCTTTTTCAACATGGTGGCTTGATCCTACTAAGGAGCCTTAGCTGGCCTAGAACTCACTCTGTAGAATAGGCTGGAACTTGTGTTCCTTCTGTCTCTGCTGCCTGAGAGCTGGGATTACAAACATCTGTCATAGCTGGTGGGAAATGAGTCTTAAATCACTGCAAATGTTAGGTTCTAAATAAAGGTAGAACATAGTAGTGTATAGCACGTGTATGTGTGTTCCCACTTGAGTGTGCATTCATTGTGTGCAGCTGTACGTGTGTGAGCCTGCTAGAGGCTAAGCTCGGGTATTATTCCTCAGAAGCTTTGTTCTTTGATGGGATCTCTCGTTGGGAGCTAGGGGTCTCTCGTTGGGAACCAGGGGTCTCTCGTTGGGAGCCAGGGGTCTCTCATTGGGAGCCAGGGGTCTCTCGTTGGGAGCCAGGGGTCTCTCATTGGGAGCCAGGGGTCTCTCGTTGGGAGCCAGGGCTTGCCCTTTAGGATAGGATGCCTGGTAGTGATCCCTTGGATCTTCTGTCTCGGCCTCAGCACGGGGGTCACACATGTACCACAAGTTTTCACGAGGGTGCTGGAGATCGAACTCAGCACTTGTGTTTGCCCTGCAAGCACTCTTTGGACTGAGCTGGCACCAGAGCTCAAGAGTAACACATACTAGTGGGTAGAGGGTTCACCAATGGAATGGTTGTGACAGGTCTGAAAATCAGAGTTTGGGCTACAGAGATAAGGTTGGCAGCTTACCGCCCTCTGTATAACTCTAGCTCCAGGGAATCCTATGCCCTTTTTTGGTCTCTGCAGGCACTGCATGCAGATTGTACATAGATAGGCACTCAAGCACACACATATACACAAAATAAAAATGAATATTTTTTAAAAAATCAGGTAATTTTAGACCTTTTTTTTTTTGATTTTTGAGATAGGGTTTCTCTATAGCTTTGGAGCCTGTCCTGGCACTCACTCTGTAGACCAGGCTGGCTTCAGACTCACAGAGATCCGCCTGCCTCTGCCTCCTGAGTGCTGGGATTAAAGGCGGGTCTCCACCATCAGGCCTAGATCTTTTCTTTATACCATAAATACTATTCCATGTATAAGATTAAGACTTTGTGTGTGTGTGTTGTTATTGAGACAGGGTTTCTCTGTGACTTTGGACCTTGTCCTGGAACTCATTCTGTAGACCAGGCTGGCCTCAAACTTGTAGAGATCCGCTTATCTCTGCCTCCCAAGTGCTGGGATTAAAGGCATGCAACACCACCTCCCAGCGAGATGAAGACATTTAAAGAAAAAAACACAAAGAGACTATCATGCAACTAAACTAAACTGGAATTATGCCAGGCATGATTTTTCAGGGTTCCAGCACTTGAGAGGCAGAGGCAAGTGATCTTCATGAACTTGAGGCCAACCTGGTCTATGCAGTAAACTCCATGCCAGTCAATGCTACATAATGAGACCATGTTTAAAAACAACAACAACAACAAAAACCTAGGAGAATGAGGACCAGCAGCAGCCAATGGGCCACTGGTGGCCTATTCAGAAACCTTGACTTCATTTTACTCTATGGTTTTCTTTCCATTTAACTAAAGTAATTTAATTCTAACAAAAAGCCTGTTGTATAGGTGGTACCTATCATACAATCTAATCTGCTATTCTACCCTTCTGGGCTAATTGTTGCTCTATCATAAATAAAATTATAAATGCAATTCACTAACTGTGAGGTCAGATTTGCCATGTTGGCTTGAGATTTAATATCCCCCCAAAAAATATATATAGTCATGTGCTACATAACATTTTAGCCAAGGACAGAATTTATATATACAGCGGAGGTCCCTAAGATTGTATTGCTGGGCCGGTGAGATTGTTCAGTAGGTAAAGGCACTTACTGACAAGCCTGATGACCGCAGTTCAATACTTGGGACCTACAAACTGTCCTCTGACCTTCACATGCCCTGTGGCATCTGTGCAAGCACACACCACACACACACACACACACACACACACACACACACACACACCACACACACACACACACACTAAAGATATACTACATTTTTTTAATGAAAATCTCCTTAAGGCAAAACAAAACAAAGACTGCGTGCGGCATAGTGACCACACAGCTGTCGTACTTGGCAGGCAGGCACTCCTGTCACTTAGCATTTCTTAATATGGCCGGGCCGTGGTGGCGCACATCTTTAATCCCAGCCCTCTGTGAGTTCGAGGCCAGCCTGGTCTACAAGAGCTAGTGCCAGGAAAGGCTCCAAAGCTGTCTTGAAAAACCAAAAAACAAACAAACAAACAAAAAGCCCCCACATTTCTTGATATGTCATCTGTGTTGATAAGCAAAGCGCAGCTATGTTAATATCCAGTTTCTATTTCTATTTCATAGTGGGTGTATATAATTAAGAGAGCTGCCTGGCATGCTGGAACAGGTTTGAAACGTGATTTTATTTTAACCAAGTCTCTAAATTCAGGTTCTTTGTGGTTTTAGGTCTGGCTAATGAAGCAACAGTGTTCTGGATACACAGTCTGCCGTGGATATAGGGTTCGAACATGGAGGCAGGCTCTGGGGCCAAGGCTCCCATTCTTATGCCTTCCAGCCTAATTCTAAAGCAGATGTGGAAGCTGAAGTTCCCACCAGGGACTTAGGTCTTTCTCCTTTTCCACTGCCTTTCCGTATCCCCCCACCCTTTTTGCAAGAAAAGGGTCTCAGGTAGCCCAGGACTGGCCTGGAACACTCTGTTCTCAAAGATGGCCTTGAACTTCTGATCCTCCAGCCTTTGTCTCTCAAATCCTGAAGGAAGGTACAGGCCACCACCCTCTCTGGCTTGTGTGGTGCTGGAGGGCAGGCAAGGGCTTCATGTTCATTACCCCTGAGCTACACCCCCAGTCTTGGCTTCTAAATTTTGTGTGTGGAGGGAGTTAAATTGAGTTCAGATTTGGTTGAAGTAAAATGATTTTCACTGGCCTCAGGCTGTTTCTTCAATGTGGAAAGAAAAAGAGCAAACTTCTGACAGAGATACCCATGGTAGTAATGGGAAGGTGTTAGCACCCTGGTGCTCTGTAAGGTGCCAGGGAGAAAGCCAGTGTCCACCCATGGGGGAGGCTCTCAGGAGCACGGTGTGGCTTGGTTTCACTTCCTGATCCTAGGCGAGCCTCTACGAGCAGGCCACACATCCAGATGTGACTTAGGAACCACTCTGCCCTGTACTCCTGTGCCAACCTGCTTGATTGCCATTTTCAGCACTTCAGCTCCTCTGCTTGAGTGCCCTGTGGTGTGAGCTGGCAGTTTACTGTGTGTCCCTTCTGCTGCAGTTCCTCTGAGCCAGGCTTGACCTTGAGCACACCCAAGCTTCCAGTTTTGCTGATGCTAAGATAATAGATGACCTTTGAGCCCACCCCAAAATGCAGAACAAGGGCTGGGGGTGTAGTGTGGAGAACTCGGGGTGGCCATATTTAATCTCCAGCACTCCCTCTTTAGGCAGAGCTGTTCTGGTAAAAAGGCCTGGGTTGTCTTCTAGGGACAAGAGGAGAAGAGGAAGTCAGGGGTGGTGACACTGGGCGGAACGACTGCTCACTTCTTTCCCTGCCAATGACCTTCTTTAAATAGGGCTTAGACCTTGGCAGAAAACAAGGGCACCCAAGTTCACCAAGTCTACCTACTCAGCTTCCATGGGGTTTACCTACTGCCCTCCATTTTGCAATTCAATGCCCCCCCCAATTTTATTGCATTCATTTTTATTTTGTGTGGGCATGTGCATAAATGGGGGGCATACATATTCTGTGGCACATGAGTAGTCAGAGGACAACTTTGGGGAGTCGGTTCTTTCCTTCGCCATGTAGGACCAAGCTCAGGTCATCAGCCTTGGCAGTGAGAGCTTTACTCACTGGTCCATATCACCCCCTTTAAAACTGGGCTTGGACTAGATCACTGTACTTCCTCTGGGATTGTGGTTCATGTGACCACACCCATCTAGTGCCTCAGTCTTCCTTCTACTTTGGCCCACCTAGGAGCCAATTTCCAAGAAGCAACAACAGAATTGATTTAAGATTCATTGGATCGTGTCATTGCCAGCTGAAAACCCCACGTTTCTCTTTGGTCACCCACTCTGAGCCTCGTCTTCCCCACAGTATTTATTCTTTTCACCCTGTTTAGGATCCAGGCTTCCTCTCTGGCCATGAAACATGAACTGGGGTTGTCAGGAATTCCTATCCCCTAGTCAAGATGAGCTGGAGTTTTGTTTTGGTTTTTTGTTTTTGGGGGGTTTGTTTTGTTTTGAGGCAGGGTTTCTCTATGTAGCCCTGGCTGGCCTGGAACTAGCTCTTATAGACCAGGCTGGCCTTGAATTCACAAAGATCCATCTGCCTTTGCCTCCCAAGGGCTGAGGTTAAAGGCACACCACCACCACCCGGCTATGCTTCTCGTAATGTATCCAAGAGAATACTGCTATATGTACATCAGAAAGAAAAAAAGTGGGGGGCAAGCCAGGTGGTGGTACATGTCGTCAATCCCAGAGACAAGCAGATCTCTGTGAGTTTGAGGCCAGCCTGGTCTACCAAGTGAGTTCCAGGACGTGCTCCAAAGCTACAGAGAAACCCTGTCTCGAGAAAATAAAAACAAAAAAATGACAAGCCGGGTGGTGGTGGTGTTGCATGGCTTTAATCCCAGCACTCGGGAGGCAGAGAGACAGGCAGATCTGTGGGTTTGAGGCCAGCCTGATCTATAGAGGGAGATCCAGGACCCTGTCTTGAAAAGCTCAGAGGGGGAGAGGGGGAGAGAGAGAGAGAGAGAGAGAGAGAGAGAGAGAGAGAGAGAAATGTCAAGGAAAAAAAGCCTAAGAAATATTTAGTTGAGAAAAGGGTGGGAAAGGAAGAAAACTGCCACGCTGAGGCCAGATGCTTCCTTCAGTTCTGAGTTCTCCCTGGATGCAGAAGGCTCTAGGCCGTGCTCACCACACGGGAATCTCCTTAGCTGGAGGAGCCCTTCCTGCCTGTGCTGCTCCTCACCAGCGCCCACCTGTCCTCACTGATGGCCTCTGCTGCTCTTGGCTTCTTCTCTACCTCGAGGAAGTCCCATCAATTATGGCTTTCCTTTTCCCTTGTTTCATCTATCCAAAGAAGGCTTTGAACTCTCGGAGGCCTTTTCTGACCCTACCCCCAGAGCACTGGAATTAGAGGCACGTACCACCACACCCAGCTTTATGCTGGGCTAGGGCTCTGTGCACGCTAGACAAACACTTGGTCAATTGTGCTATACCCCAGCCCACGGCTCCACTTTTAGTACCAAAATGCTCCTTCCAGAATCACACTGCGATATCACTTCTGGACTGGGGACACTCCCTCACTTGGGCTCACCGCTCCGGCTCACCGAGTCTGTTTCCAAACTCAGAATAATCCCTTTAGTTTCCTCTCATTTGCTCAAAGGTTTCCCTCCTTCAAGGGGAAGGTCAATTGTCTACTGGTCGCCCACAGACCGTGCATCCTCAAGACAATTTTTCTCTTGCTCTGGCCTTCCAAACACAGTCTCTGCCAGAAGGGTACATACAGGCACACTGGTCTCCAAGCCTTTGTGCTCCATGTCCCTAAGCAAGCACACCGAAAGATTAATTATCACCTAGGCCTTGGTTGGAATGCAACCTCAGCTTTGATGACCTCCACGACGTCCCTCTGCTATCCCCTGCGTTATCATTCCCTAAGCTTCCCCGCGTGCCATGCAAGCTCAGTGGACGATTGCGAATCGGGTATGGTGGCGCGTGCCTGTAAGACCAGCACCAGGGAGGCTGAAGCAGGATTTTGAGTGTAGAGCTAGCTGGGCTACCGAGTCTTAGTTCAGCCTTGGCTGTCGTCGCAAATAGCTGATTCCAGTGCTTCCCTTCTCCTGGGTTCCCTGCTGCTGCCGGTCCCTTCTCTCACCCAGTACACACAAAGCAGCAAGAGCTAACACTTTCTCACACCAGGTTCCTTCTAACTTCCCCCACTGCACGCAAGGTCCTCACGAGCAGAGATTCTCTGTTCACCACTGTTTCCTCACCACGCCCAGCTCTGCCTGGCGTCAGCTAGGTGCTTCACGAAGAAACCAGTGAAGAAAGGCCCTGACCTCTCCTTACGTTTTGAGGTTCACTAGGAACCCCAGATCCAAGCAGCCCACCCTTCCAGTCCCAGCGTTCCCTTGTGTACCTGAGTTGTGGTCCTTACTAGTGCTCCAAAATGCCACCAAACTTCAGAGTGAAAGAGAAACACGTTTGGGTCAGTTCCTATGTGGAACGATCACCTTGAATAGTTACTGAGAAAGACTGCCACACACAATTCCTGACCTTCTCAAGCTCACGAGCCTTAGGGGTCCTTAATGCAGAAGACCTGTGGATACCACAAAGCCCCAGGGTCTACCTGACTAGAATCTGCAGAAAAGGCCTCACACGGAAGGCGAGTTACAGGGAGCGCCGGAAGGAATCCCAGGCTCCCAGCGACTGTGCTAATCTCTCTTCTGGGCAGGATGCCTGGGAGCCAAAAGTAGGAGGTCACGCCCCTTCCTATCTGGGTTCTGGTGCTTTTGCCTTCTCAACCTCTAATTCTAGGTCACAGAAATAAATCCAATCTTACACCTTAAAGGAACTGAGTAAAGACCTCAGTTGAGTTCACTGCCTGCAAATAACGACAAAAACCAGAATGTAGCCTCGTCAGCCTAGTCAATCCTGTCTGGAGTTTATCTTGAAAAAGCAAATAAGATGTTCCATTTTGCTGGGTGGTGGTGGCTCACGCCTTTAATCCCAGCACTCAGGAGGGAGAAGAAGGCAGATTTCTGTGAGTTCCAGGCCAGCCTGGTCTACAAGAGTTAGTTCCAGGACAGGCTCCAAAGTGACAGAGACACCTTGTCTTGGTGGGGGAGGGGAAAGCTATACAATTTTTTAGTATACTCCACCCCACCCCCACCAAGAACTTCCCCTCCTCCTCCTTCTTCTCCTTTTTGAGACAATCTCACTCTACAAAGGATGACTTTGAACTCCTTCTGGAGCTTTCTGGCTCCACTTCTTGGGTGTTAGGATTGTTGGCCTGAGTCAGCATGAGGGTTTATGTGCACTAAGGGTTGAACCCAGCGCTTCTAGTATGCTAGCTAGGCAAACACTCTTACCAACCAATCCTAAATGCTGTACTTTGAAAAATATTGTCAAATTCACCAACTAATCTTTCAGGGTTAATTTTCCCCCTATTCATCTTTTGAATTATAATTACTGACAATTATAGACTCAAGTGGCTTTCATGGTGACATTGTCATTTTTATGTATGTATCTGATTCAGTCTTATCTGTGGATGCCGTACTGAGGATGGCTGTGCTGAGACCTGAGACACTCTCATCTCAGAGCAAGGCTGTGCTCAGGGCAAAGTCACCACTGTCTCCAGCCAGGATCATGACCTCGTCAACAGAGCTAATCCTAACAAACCCTTGGGACAAAATGCAGACGCCAGTGTAGGGTGGGTGGGCGGTCATGCTTGGCATTTCTGACACAGGGTAAGACAGTTATTGCCTCGGGGCAAGATGACTGCTAGCCACAGTGAATCCCAACTGCGACTATTCCAGTACACTGCTAGCCAGCTCAGAGTTCCCTTCCCAGTCTAGCAAAAAGCAGCTCTCTCGCCCGCTGTGGCCACACCACAGTGTAGCTTTGGAGTACTCTACTTTGGAGTTCCTCTGTCTTTTGTTATGGTTTTTTTGTTTGTTTGTTTGTTTTTGTTTTTGTTTTGTTTTGTTTTTTTGGAGACGGGGTTTCTCTGTGGCTACGGCGCCAATCCAGGAACTAGCTCTTGTAGACCAGGCTGTCCTTGAACTCACCACCCCGCTGAGTTCCTTCCTCTTCCGTGAAGTCACTCCTAGCCCAGGTGTCCGGTTCCTTGTTGCTGTCCTGCATGGCAGTGCCCCCTTTAAAATTCTTCCATGTGTGCTCTCCACCCATCCCTTTCCTTTCTGTGATAGTCCTATGTGGATTTCTTTCAGGTTATCCTGTTTTTGTTTCTTTTTTTAAAAAATGCTGGCCAGGTCGGGCGGTGGTGGCGCACGCCTTTAATCCCAGCTCTTGGGAGGCAGAGGCAGGCGGATCTCTGTGAGTTCGAGACCAGCCTGGTCTACAAGAGCTAGTTCCAGGACAGGCTCCAGAACCACAGAGAAACCCTGCCTTGAAAAACAAAAACAAAAACAAAAACAAAAAAATGCTGGCCAGAAGGTGGTGGCACACACCTTTAATCCCAACACTAGGGAAGAAGAGGCAGGCAGGTCTCTGAGTTTGAGGCCAGCCTAGTCTACAGATGAGTTCAAGGAGAGTCAGGGTCACACAGAGAAACCTTATCTTAAGAACAACACCCCCCCCAAAAAAAACTGCATTCAGGTAATAAACAAGTTACAAAAGAGAATATAAACGTAGTTGTTTTTCTATTTCTAATTCTGCTGTGATTTTGTTGTTGTTGTTTTTGTTTTTGTTGTGAAACTGGGTAGTGGTGGCACGTGCCTTTAATCCCAGCACTTGGGAGGCAGAGGCAGGTGGATCTCTGTGAGTTCGAGACCAGCTTAGCCTACAAGAGCTAGTTCCAGGACAATTAGGGTTGTTACACAGAGAAATCCTGTCTCTAAAAATCAAAAAATTAAAAACATTAAAAAAAAAAAAGGTCTACTCCAATTGCAAAGAAGTTTATTGAGTTGTATAGTGTTTGTATCTGGTTAATTTTGGTGTGTGATTTTTTTTCAACTGCTTTTATAATAAAGTTTCAGAAATTAAAAATAAAATTGAAAGTGTATCCTCTTTGTTTGTGTGAGAATGACACGCTCTCAGACTCCAGTGCATTCCTATCCCTACCCCCACCCACAGCCATTCTGAACAAAGTTAGATGGAATCTCATTGTCACTTTGATTTGTGTTTCCCTGATGGCTAAAGATATTGAATATTTTTATTACATATTATTGTCTGTTTGGATTCCTGTTGAAAGATACTTCTCAAATAATTTGCCTATTGGTTAAACTGTTTATTATTTTTTGCTAACAAACAATCTTATTAATATGAGAACAGTTTTACTTTGTAGTCCAGGATAGCCCTCAGATACATAATCTTACTGTCTTAGCCTTATAAGTACTGGGACTATAGGCATGTGCCATTGTTGTTATGGTTTAAATAAAATGCTGCAAGTCCCGGAGTGACTTCAGGCAGTGGGCAGCGGGTCCAGAGAGCAGCCAGTTCCCAGGCAGGGACTGAGCAGTTCCCCAAGTGGCTGCAGTGGGCCAGGAGAGGCAGCAAGTCCCAGGCATGGAGCCACGTGGTGGATGAGAGACCTCAATGAGGCAACCAGTCCCATGAGAAGAGACAGATGGATGGGCGTGCCATGAGATCATGCCACAGGTCTTCAAAGGTGGCTGGTCCTGGGTAGGGAACCATGCAGCAGGGAGAGACAGAGACATGGATAGGCATGCCAGGCAGAGTGAGGTTGGATATTTATTTAGTGGGTTGTGGAGGGGAAAAGAGGAGAAGAACACACACACACATACACACATACACACACACACACACACACACATAGAGAGAGAGAGAGAGAGAGAGAGAGGCAGAGAGAGAAAGATATATATATATATATATATATATATATATATATATATAGAGAGAGAGAGAGAGAGAGAGAGAGAGAGAGAAACAGAGAGGGGAAAGAGGAGAAGTGGGGAGAAGGGAGAGACAGAAGCTGCCTCTTCAAGAGATGGTAACTGAAGGGACTAAGGCTGGAGGCTGGAGGCTGAAGATCAGCTTGCCTCTACAGACAGGGTAGGGAGTGGCAAGGCTTGTCTCTTAAAGGGACAGGACAGACCATTACAACCATGATTTCTTTTAATATTCTGGCCATTTGATTAATCATCTACAGGGAATAAATAGCTGGCAAAGATTTTCTTATTCTGGAGGTTTTGTCTTTATGGATGGCTTCCTTCTTTATACAGACTCTTTAAATTTTCATATAGTCTTCTGCCAGTTCTAACTTTTTTTTTTTTTTTTTTTGGTTTTTCGAGACAGGGTTTCTCTGTGGTTTTGGAGCCTGTCCTGGAATTAGCTCTTGTAGACCAGGCTGGTCTCGAACTCATAGAGATCCGCCTGCCTCTGCCTCCCGAGTGCTGAGATTAAAGGCGTGCGCCACCATCGCCCGGCTCAGTTCTAACTTTTATTTCCTAAACTAGTGAAGTCCTATTTGGAAATCCTTTCCTCCACTTGAAGCATTCCCCCTCTTTTCCTCTAACACATTCAAAGTCTCAGGTCTTAGATTAAGGACTGGATCTAGTTTGAGTTTTTTCAACAGAATGCAAAAAAAAAAATGTAATTTCTACCTTTTTATACAGATATGCATTTTTAACCAGCACCCTGTGGTAAGGAGGCTGTGTTTTCTTCAATATGTGGTTTTGGCAACTTTATAATGTTGGACCCTGAAGTCCAACTACCAGGAGGAGTCGCCCCAAGAGACCACCCTCACACCACAGTTGAAGTAAAAGCATGAGGATTTTAATTCTGTCACGACAAGGTCTTTCAGCATTCAAGAAGCCAAAAGACCCCGAATAGCTGGTACAGGCTACATTTAAAGCAAAAAGTCATAGAAACAAGGGAGGGGGGAACTCAGGGGTTGTTTTCCAACTATTGGGATTGGCTTATTTAAAGGGATATTAACAATAATTAGTCCAAGCCAGGGCTGGAGGGCGGTTGCCAGATCAGGCAAGGTAAGAGGAAACATTTGAGGGTTACTTTGACCCCCTCCCAGAAACTGAGTCAAAACATCAGGAATTGAGTCAACATCTTAAGGATTATCTTGCCCCAATTTCAATAACTGAGTTCTATCTGGAGAACATCCACAAAAAACTCAGGGAGATGGAAAGCTCCCAACATTTCAGTACGTGTGTGGGTAATTGTTAGATTCCTGGTTCCCAGGGGAGGGGGGAAATCCTCAGAGGGCTGAGAAGCCTCAGAGTTATTTTAGAGTTTTACAATAAGAATCAGATGGCTGTAGATGCATAGGTGTATTTCCGGACACTCTAGCTGTTCTATTGGGCTCTGCTTCCATCTCTGTGGCAAGAGTATGCTATTTTTGTTACCATGGCTCTAGATAAAATGAGGTACTGTGATGTCTCAGCATTGCTTTTTTTTTTTTAAACAAAGTTTGTCTACATAGTCCTGGCTGTCCTGGAATTTACTCCGTAGACCAGAATGGCCTTGAACTTGTATAGAGGTCTGCCTATCTCTACCTCTCAAGTGACTCATGTTACCAGGCCTGATAGCATTGTATTTTTGTCTCAGACTCCTTTGGCCATCAGGGTCTTTTGTGTGCATGTGTAATTTTTAGGATTGTC